GCAGCAGCTGCGGGCACTGCCTGTTCCAGCCCCCGAGGTCCTGGTGGTGAGGAAGCGCCAGCATGACCCTGGTCCAGGCTGCCCGTCCAGGCTGGCCCAAGCTCCCTCCTCCAGGAGGCCCTGCTCTGTGGTCTCGGGTGCACGAAGGCCGTTTCCAAAAGGCATGGGCCTGGCTCCAGGAAGGCGATGGGAGGGAGGCTTCCACCCCACACCGTGGTTTCTGCAGGGAGTGGCCCTCTGGCCATTCTGGGGAAGCCACTCAGGCCACGAATAGATGAAGGGACTGGGGCGTCTCCTCTGGTCTCCGGCCCCCGTCAGTGTCTGATGTGGTGTCCTGCTCCCTTTCACCTCCTCGCTGGGCTGGGCCCAGTGTGTGCTGGGGCCTGTCCTGGGACCTTGAGAACCAGCACTAAATAAGGCAGGCTCTTTGCCCTCAGGGAGTCCACACAGGAGTGGGCGAAGCAGACACATAAGCTCTTAGCTGCAAGGAGTATGTCCAGGGGGTGGGCATACAAAGGAGAAGACTTCCCAAGAGGTGGCTGGGAGCTGAACCTGATGAAGGAATGGGATTTTCCAGGTGGCAAGGAAGGAGGAGGCTGCAGCCCGCGCCAGATCCTGGAGGTGTGGACAGGTACAGTGTGCTGGGAGAAGGAATCAGCCTGAGCACAACCAGGGACCGGAGGTAGAGGTCGAACTAAGCACAGAACCCCAGTACAGTGTCTGCCCTGGGTTTGTGCTCAGCCTCCCCAGACGATGGTTGGGACACATCAGGATCGCAACCAAGGTACATGCTCCTGACTGGAATCATCCTGGGACCTTTCAGTCTGCAGACCGACGCTCTATCTACTGAGCCAAACCGGTTTTGGCCACCCAGAGCTCTTGTGACTGTTTGTGACTGTAGTGTCCCACCACCATCCTGCCCTCTCCCTCTGATGCCCACTCCCTCTGATGCCCATTTTTCTATTTTGAGCAGAGTGACCAGGAACCATGGTGTTTACACCCATATGAGCCGGGTCAGCAGAATTAAATTTCAGACTTCTTCAAAAAAAAAAAGTCAGGGTGACATCTGGCAGCTTCCTGAAATTCTGAGATCAGAGGAAATGTTGACTTAGAGCCCTCGTGGGGGTTGGAGGGAGGATACCAAGTGAGCTGGGGTCCAGTGGAGGGGTTCCTAGGACACTTGGCTTTTGACCCAGAGATCTCAGTCCTGGCTGGGAAGGGCCTTTGAACAGCTTTATTGGGATGTAATTTGCATGCCACTAGATTTGCTGTCACCAAAAGAGAGTTCAGTGATTTTGAATAAATTTACACAGTTGTGCAGCCATCACCACAACTCAGTCCTAGATTCCCATCACCCAAAGCTCTTTTTTTACAGAGAGAAAGAGAGAGGGATAGAGAGTTAGAAATATCAATGAGAGAGAAACACCGATCAGCTGCCTCCTGCACACCCCCCACTGGGGATATGCCCGCAACCAAGGTACATGCTCCTGACTGGAATCATCCTGGGACCTTTCAGTCCGCAGACCGACGCTCTATCCACTGAGCCAAACCGGTTTTGGCCACCCAGAGCTCTTGTGACTGTTTACAGTCAATCCCTCTCTGCAGCCGCCATCTCAGGTTAACCACTAACCTGTTTTCTTTTTATTCTTTTCTTTTTTTAATATATTTTATTGATTTTTTACAGAGAGGAAGGGAGAGAGATAGAGAGCTAGAAACATCGATGAGAGAGAAACATCGATCAGCTGCCTCTTGCATACCCCCCACTGGGAATGTTCGCGCAACCAAGGTACATGCCCTTGACCAGAATCGAACCTGGGACCTTTCAGTCCGCAGACTGACGCTCTACTGCTGAGCCAAACTGGTTTCGGCCTAACCTGCTTTCTGTCTTGATAGATTTGCCTTTTGCAGACCTTTTATATGAATGAGATAATATAAAATGTAGTTTTTGTCTTGCCTCTTTTATTTTGCATAATGTATTTGAGATTCATACATGTGCACAGCATGTATCAGGAGTTCATGCTTTTTATATTGCTGGACAGTCTTCCATTGTATTGATATTCACATTTTGTTTATCTGTTTACCAGCTGGTGGACATTTGGGTTGTTTGCACTATTATGAATAAAGCTGCTGTGAACATTCAAGTACAAGTGTCTGTGCGAGCATACATTTTCCTTTTTGTTGGGTGGACGATACAGGATAAGGGTGGAGGGCAGCTTATCGGGACCTTGGAGTGGAATCGCTGTAGAATAAAACTTTATAAGGAACTGCCAAATGTTTTTCCAAACCCATCACACTATTTTAACATGCCTAGCAGTAAAGTATGAGGGTTCTTGCCAATACTTGCTATTGTTGGTCTTTTTTTATTACGACCTGCTGAGGAACTTTTTTTTAAAGAACAATTAATTGGCTTATTGATTTTTTATTTTTTTAATATATCATTGATTTTTTTACAAAGAGGATGAGAGAGAATTATGGATCAGCTGTCTCTTGCACACCCCCCACTGGGATGTGCCCGCAACCAAGGTACATGCCCTTGACCAGAATCAAACCTAGGACCTTTCAGTCGCAGGCAGGGCTCTATCCACTGAGCCAAACCTGTTTCGGCTGATTTTTTAGAGAGAAACATCGATGTGAGTGCTCAACAACAATCAGCTGCCTCCTGCACTCCCCCTACCAAGGGTGGAGCCAGCAACCCGGGCATGTGCCCTCGACCAGGAGCCCAAGGAACCACTTCCTGGTGCCCAGGAGGAGGCCCACCTGAGCCACACCAGCGAGGGCCTGCTGGAAAACACTCACTGACACCCGGGTCCATCCCAAACCAATTGAACCAGAATCTTGGGGTTCGAGGCCCAGGCATAGGTATTCAAAACAGAACAGAACAAAGACAAAGACTCCCTACCTAAAAGCTGCTCACGTGCAAAGGTTTGAGAACCAGTGCCCTAACTTTAGGTCTGATTTCTGTCCTCCGGGCACTTAGGGGGAGCGCGTGCTGGCCGGCAGCCTCTCCCACACCAGGAAGCACATGGGTTTGGGGGTGCCCAACACCCACAGGCACACTCCTGGGGCAGACGCCTGAAGAGGAAGGGGCCTGGGAGGCCTCCCTTGTGCACAGCCAGCTGAGATGCTGAGGAGGAGGGGCGCCTCCCACGACCTTAGGGTTGCTCAGGCTCCAAAGAGATTAAGAAAGTATGACATTCCTGGCTGCAGACCAGCTGCAGATAACCCCAGAGAAACAGGAGAATGGTGGTGCCAGCAGGAGCTCCAGGGAGCTTAGCGGCTCAGGGGATCATCAGGCCAGGGCCACACGGTCTGGGATACAATCTCTTCCTTTCAAAGGGTCTGCAGACAATAACAACCACCATGTTCCATGGACCAGACCCTGTGCCGGGGCTAGGGAAACCTCAGGCTCCCACCCCAGGGAGCTCACAGTCTGCTGGAAGAAGCAGGCAAAACAGAGTTGAACAGCATGATGGGTAATGATGCTGGAAGCCTCTGGGTGGGGGCGACATTGAGGTAGAGATCTGAGTGAATGAAGAAAGCCAATTATGCGAAGATCTCTGTGCAAAGATGTATCTGGTAGAGGGAAGGGTTCATGGACAGCTCGAGGAGGAGAGAGTTTGGTGTTTTCCAAACAGAGGTAGACAGTAGAGCAATAAAGAGGAAGGAGCTAGACCCTTTCGGTGGTCATGGCCAGAATGCAGCTTTTATTTTGTGTGCCATGGGAGGAGAGGGCAGTGGATGGTTTTTAGAGGGGTGGAAAATGCTATAGTTTCTATTTTTAAAGATGGCTTTGGTTGGTGCAGAAGATAGAACTATAGGGGCAATAGCGGAGCAGGGAGTTGGGGCAAGCTGTCAAGGCAAAAGATGAAAATGGCTTGGACTAGCGTTGGTGCAAATGAAAGAGAAAGTATACTAGTAGATGTAGACATCTTTGGGAGTTGGAGACACAATTATCTACCGACATGTGGTAGAAAGAAAAAAGGAGTTAAACATGACTCCTATTGTTTTTTACTCAATTGAGCATCTGGGTGAAGGGTGGTGCCATGATCTGAGATGGAGAAAACAGAGTAGCAGAATTTAGTACTGGGGGTGGGGTGGGATGAATTATGGATCTAGCTGGGTGAAGAGAGGAGGGAAACTGGAGGGCTAAGATGTCCTCATGATCCCTGGATAAAGGGCTGGCAATCCTTGTCAGATCAAAGTCTGTTTATGTCAGCATTTGTGTAGTATTAGAACATCGTGAAAATTTTTTCAAGATGCTGGAATGTTCGGGGTGCTTCTTACAGTTGTTAGGGAGGCCTTGAAAAAATAAAAATAAAGAGAGAGAGAGACACACACACACACTCAAGCTGAAGATGGTAGCCCATTCTTATTATCAAAAGAAAAAGTCATGCCCTGGCTGGCTTGGCTCGGTGGATAGAGCATCAGCCTGCGGACTGAAGGATCCCAGGTGTGATTCTGGCTAAGGGCACATGCCTAGGTTGCCGGCACGATCCCCAGTGAGGGGGGTGCAGGAGGCAGATGATCAATGATTCTCTCTCATCATTAATGTTTCTATCCTCTCTCCTCTCCCTTCCTCTCTGAAATCAATAAATAAATATATAAAAGAAAGGAAGGGAGGAAGGAAGGAAGGAAGGAAGAAAGGAAGGAAGGAAGGAAGGAAGGAAGGAAGGAAGGAAGGAAGAAAGAAAGAAAGAAAGAAAGAAAGAAAGAAAGAAAGAAAGAAAGAAAGAAAGAAAGAAGAAAGAAAGAAAGAAAGAAAAGAAAGAAAGGCATGGCTCAGTGATTGGGTGTTAACCTGTGAACCAGGAGGTCACAACTTTATTTCCAATCAGGGCATATGCCCAGGTTTGGGGCTTGATCCTCAGTGGGGGGCAAGAAGGAGGTAGTCGATCAATGATTCTCTCTCATCATTGATGTATTTATCTCATTCTCCCTCTCCCTTTCTCTCTGAAATCAATAAATATATATTTATATATTTTTAAAAAGAAAAAGTCAACCCAAACCGGTTTGGCTCAGTGGATAGAGCGTTGGCCTTCGGACTGAAGCGTCCTGGGTTCGATTCCGGTCAAGGGCATGTACCTGGGTTGCGGGCACATCCCCAGTAGGAGGTGTGCAAGAGGCAGCTGATCGATGATTCTCTCCCATCGATGTTTCTAACTCTCTATCCCTCTCCTTTCCTCTCTGTAAAAAAATCAATAAAATATATATATTTTTAAAAAGTCATTACCTCTTGCTGCTCCCTCCCTTCCTGTCACTTTGAAATGTTATTGCTGGCTTATGAGCATGTAGATAGCATAGCTACAGGTCTTCCACCCCTTCCGCAACATAAGAGGCTGGGAGCCCCATGCCGAGTGAATGACTCATAAAAACAAAGACGGGGCTTAGAGGACCATCTAGAAAGGGGCCCCAGGGGTCAGAGTCTGCTAGCAGGCAGGCTGCAAGGGGCAGAGAAACTGGGAGGCAGGTGGAGTGTGAAGAAAACGGGAGAAAAACATCAGCGAGACCAGTGAGCTGCTGGAGGTCAACGCGGGAGCTGAGTGGTAGGGGTGCCAGGGGCAGGGCCTGAGAATAACCCAGGCGATGGGGAAGCCACGCCTGGTGAGAAGCATTAGAATTCTTGAGTTTCAAACCTGGAAGGGCCTTCGGGACCAGGTGGCGGTCTCCTTGGACAGAAAAGAGGAACTGGTCTGCGAGGAGGAAATGGGAAAGAAAAGGAGAAGGCAGAAGCCAGGTCGCCAAGGTTTAGATGCCACAGAACGCTGCCAGCAGCTCCGAACTGAACTCAGAGCCATCGCCCTTTACTTCCCGGCTCCCCATTTGGTAGATGGCTAGCCCCCCAGGGGGACATTCTGTCCAGCTGTTTCCTGGAAACAAGTGGTCATTCCACCTGTTTGGGAGACATACTCTCCTGGTCTGAATCTGCCCCCCACACACACACACACTCCTCCCCTAGTCCTAACTGGGTCCCCTGTCCCAAGTCCCCAGGCTCACCCATGCTGACCAGCACAAACACATGCACTGCAGTGTTCATGGGTGCCGGCAGCATGAGAGGGCGGAGGTCACTTCCTGAGGGATATCCAGGGTGTGTGTGGGGGTGGGAGAAAGGTCAGGAGGGGCTGACGCAGCTTCTCCAAGCCATGCAGAATCCAAAGAAAACACAGCTGGGGACAGGGAGAGGGAGTGGGGAGCCGGTGATGCATGTTGACATCTTGGGCAGAAATCCAACGTGGTGTCCTGTGGTCAGTGTTTACTTGCTGAGACCAGTTACTTCCTCCAGCTTTATCTCAGTTTCCCAGTCTGCAAAACAAGGGCAGTAAAAGCTACCTCAAAGGACTGCTGAGGATTAAATGGGATCGTTAAAAAGAGCAGAGGGGAGTGGTGAAGAGCACGGGCTCTGGAGCCAGACTGACTTGACCAAATCAGCGTCTCTGGGTCTGTTCTCTGGTCTGTACAATGGGACGATGATACCTGTCTTATAGGATGTTATGCCATTTAAGTGAATTAATATTTGTAAAGTTTTTGTTGTTAAAAAAACAAACAAACAAAAAAAAAACTAGTTAAAAAAAACTAGCCGAAACCGGTTTGGCTCAGTGGTAGAGCGTCAGTCTGCGGACTGAAAGGTCCCAGGTTCCATTCCAGTCAAGGGCATGTACATTGGTTGCGGGCACATCCCCGGTAGGAGGTGTGCAAGAGGCAGCTGGTCGATGTTTCTCTCTCATCGATGTTTCTAGCTCTCTATCCCTCTCCCTTCCTCTCTGTAAGAAAATCAATAAAATATATTTTAAATAAATAAATAAATAAATAAATAAATAAATAAAAAATCTTAACTATTAAAATTAAAAAAACAACAACAAAAAAAAAACTAGTTAAGCTCTGGTAGGTGTGCTAAGTGGTTAGAGCGATGGCCCCTGCATTGAAGGGTGTCAGGTTCTATCCCAGGCAAAGGCACATACCTGTGTTGGGGTGTATTCAGGAGGCAACCAATGGTCGATCTTTCTCTCTCTCTCTCTCTCTCTCTCTCTCTCTCTCTCTCTCTCTCTCTCTCTCTCTCCTCCCTCCATTCCATTCCATCTAAAAGCAATAGAAAAAACATCCTGCGGTGAGGATTGAAAAAAAAACACCCAACTAGTTAATAGTAATAACCAGAGACATTTATTGAGCCCTTTGGTGTGCTAAGTACTAGGTTCAGCACTTTATATATTTTGTTACGTTAAAATTTCCCTACCAGAGAGGTAGGCAGGTGCTGGGTCATTCTCATGTGCAGATGTGAAACCTGAGGCCCATCAAGAGATTTACTTTTCTTTTAATGTGTTCTTTTTTTTTTTTTTTAAGTCCTCAACTGAGGACATGCTTATTGATATTAGAGAGAGGAAGGGAGAGGGGAGAGAGAGAGATTGGCTGCCTCTCACAGGCACCACAACAGAGAGCCAAACCCACAAGCTGGGTCTGTGCCTGCCAGGGAATTAGACCCACAACTGCTCAGTGCATGGGACCTTGCTCCAAGCAATGGAGCCACGCCAGCCAGGGCAAGAGATCCTTCTGAGATCAGAGGCCAAAGTTGGGATCTGACAAGACCGCCAGGCTGCCCCAAAGGATTATCAAGGAAGCCCAGCGTTTGCTGGCAGAACCAGTTCCTGGAATTGGAGCAGAACCAGATAAGAGCAACGCCCGTTATTTCCATATAGTCATTGCTGGCCCCCAGGATTCCCCCTTTGAGGGAGAGGCTTTTAAACTTGAACTCTTCCTTCCTGAAGAATACTGGATGGCAGCACCTGAAGTACGTTTAATGACCGACATTTGACATCCTAACGCAGAGAAGTTGGGAAGAACATGTTTATATATTTTGAAAGGGAAGTGGTCCCAGCATTGCAGATTCGCACTGTTCTGCCATCGATCCAGGCTGTTAAGTGCTCCCAATCCAGACAACCCAGTAGCAGGTGACGTGGTGGAGCAATGGAAGACCAGCAAAGCCCACACCATGGGAGCAGCTAGAGCAGGGACTAGACTATATGCCAGAAAAAATATTTAAATCGATCTGATCACCAAGTGTGCATCACTTCTCCTGTTCTGCCAAGATGTTTTCCTTTCTTCTTTGCATTTAATGGACACAGTCTTAGAAATACTACAGAATCAAAGCCCAGACATCTCCAGTCCTTTGGTGACTCAATACACATTAGCAAATCTAGATCTTGTCCTGTTCACTGTTTTGAAGTACAAGAGGTCTCTGCACAAAACGGAGTACGGTCCGTCCCTAGGACGGGTACGGTCCCTAGGCCTGGCCTGCTATCGCAATCATGGCCATCTTCCCCAGCTGCCTGCAGCCAGCCCCGTGCCCCACCACCCCCAGCCCCCGCCACCCACCACTCATGGCTGGGATAGAGACCAAGAGGTGGTCAGTGCACCTCATAGTGACTGGTCCAGCAGTCGGTCATTCTGCTGTTAGGGTCAATTTGCATTTTACCCTTTTTATATAGGATGAGCAGAGGCTACCATCTGGGTTGCTGGGAGATGTTTATAAGCAGTGACCCCCTCTCTGCTTTTGTTCACTCCCCCATCGTGGTTTAAGTATAAAGCACCATGAATGAAGGTGGTTGTCAGGGTTAGCTGCAGGGGTGTGGGTGTTTTTTGTTTGTTTGTTTTTCTTTTTAAGTATTTTCCTTTTACTTTATTTCACTTTTTAACATCTTTTATATATTTTTTATTGATTTCAGAGAGGAAGGGAGAGAAAGAGAGAGGTAGAAACATCAGTGATGAGAGAGAATCATTGATTGGCTGCCTCCTGCACGCCCCCCACTGGAAATTGAGCCCACAACCTAGGCATATGCCCTAACGGGGAATCGAACCAGTGACCTCTTGGTTCCTGGGTTGACACTCACCGGCTGAGCTACACCTGGCTGGGCTGTTTTTCTTTATTTTATTGTTGTTTTGAGGGAGGAAGTAGTTTAATTTTACTTTTAAGAGCTCCTGTCCCCGTTTGTGGTGATCTGATTACACTGGTTAAAAGCAGCTAACCAGCCCCTTTCCCCAGCTGCCGCTAAGGTGCTCTGTTCTTCCGAGGAAGCTAAGGCCGCGTTGGGGTGAGGCCCTCACTTCATCCGGCGACTAGCACCGTTCCCGGCAGCGCTCGCCCAGCACCCACCCTCGCCATGGCCTCCGTGTCGGAGCTCGCCTGCATCTACTCGGCCCTCATCCTGCATGACGATGAAGTGACGGTGACGGAGGATAAGATCAATGCCCTCATCAAAGCAGCTGGTGTAAATGTTGAGCCTTTCTGGCCTGGCTTGTTTGCAAAGGCTCTGGCCAATGTCAACATTGGGAGTCCCATTTGCAATGTAGGGGCTAGTGGACCTGCCCCTGCAGCTAGTGCTGCACCAGCAGGAGGTCCTGCCGCCTCCACCGCTGCTGCCCCAGCTGAGGAGAAGAAAGTGGAAGCAAAGAAAGAAGAATCTGAGGAGTCTGATGATGACATGGGCTTTGGTCTTTTTGACTAAACTGGCTCTTTTGTAACACAGTCAATAAAAGCTGACCTCTGTTAAAAAAATAAAATAAAATAAAAATAAAAGCAGCTAACCAGTTCTTTACAACAGCTCCAACCAGGTCTCCCTTTATTTAGACGCTGTAGATGGACACGTGTGATTGTGTGAACCAAAATGGGAACATTAAAGAAACACCAGGGCCCAAACTATCACTGTGACTTACCGTCAATGTGGAACCCTCCCTTCCAGGAAAGCTTGTGACGGTTTTATATGGCTTGTCTGGAGACTTGTGTAAATTTTATGTTTTAGTAAAATATTTTTTGTTAAAAAGAAATTTGCTTTTTAATTTACATCCAAGGGCGGCAAACGACAGCCCACTGGCCAAATCCAGAGAACAGGGTGTTCGCTTAAATATTGTTTAGAGCTGCTTCCACACTACCATGGCAGAACAGCTGTGACAGAAACTGTAGGGCCTGCAAAATCTAAAATATTCTGTCTGGCCCTTTACCAGGAGAGCTTGCTGACCTCTGTTCTAGAAAGTGACAGAAGCAGGAAGGA